AAAATTAATAAAATCAAAAATAAAAGAAAAGAAAACGTTATTTCTAATAACAAAAACTAAAGAAACCAAAAATAATAGAAAAAATTATAAAGAAACGAAGTGTAAGAGTTTGCCTAAAAGAAGACTAAAGATATTAAAATATTGTTTATTATTAAGAACTAGAAGGCAGTTGTTATTTAAAGGTGTTATTATTATTTATCTTGCTTTTGGAACTATTATTATTTTAATTCACAATATCATGTTGAGTCAAGGGAGAAAAGGCCTGTATTTATAACCTTTGGCTGCTAAGGATTAGTAATCCGTATTGGTGTTTGCAGTACTCTTTGCGTAATGTTAAGGTGATGTATATTACTAATTTATTGATTAATAATATCTAGAAATTTCCAAAGGTTCCAGAATATTCTGTAAGGTTCCAGAAGTTGCCACGTGATTCCAAGATATTCTAGGACATTCTAAAACATTCTATAATATTCTAGACTATTCTACAATTTTCTGTATAACATATCCAAAAACTATTACTAATTGTTATACAAAACTATTACTAATAAAACTATACTAAAATACTATACTTAACAAATAATAGTTTATTAACAGTTTCAGGTACCAAACAATTTCTTTTATAGGTAATATGGTTTCCTGCATCAGAAAAAAGACGTTCACTTAGAACAGAAATAGCGGGAATAGATAAATATTTATGTGCTATTTTACTTAGAATAGGAAAAGAATATTGTTTATCACTCCACCATTGGTAAACATCAGTATTTTTGGGTGGAATTGGTGTAATAGATATGTTCAGATAATTGTCAATTTCTATTTCATGATTAATTTGACTTTCACTTTGTTCAAAAATCCTATCTATAAAGGAAGGAGTTGAAGAAGAAGAAGCTGTTTCAGCATGTCTAACAGATTCATCAGTTATAGATATATTCTTCCAAGTTTCAAATTTAGTATGTAATTGATTAATTGTATCATTTCGTATTATAGTTTACTATGCATTCATTGTTTTTAATTGTGGATCCAACAAGGTAGCAATTAGCTCGATATTATTTGGATCATCTCAATAATGGCAAAGAGAATCATAGACTACTTTTCGAATATTTGAGATTATTTGTTGTGTTGAAAGTTGATTTTGGGTAGTTAATTGTTCATCATCAGAGATTTCACCTGAGTCGTCATCGATATCATTATCAGATAATATTTCATCTAAAATTCAAAAAAAATATTAGTTTGGAAAAGTTTAAAATTTTTCATTTTGTTTCAATTTATGCATACCATCATCAATGATTTCTTCAAATTCATCTATATCTAATTCATCACTACTAGCAAACACAAGCTTTAATGCTTCAATACTTGAGTTAATGACCGAAAGAGTGATATATTAAATTCCACTAAAACAAGTTGTTAACTCATCAAAGGGCTGAAGTATTTGTATTATTTCCTCTAGTAATTCTCATTTACTTTCTTTAGGAACAAGGGGTTTTAATTTACGAGAATCTTTAGCACTATTTTTATCATCTTCTATTTCTAGTGTTGCTGAAAGCCTTTCAAGCGCTTTATGCAAAACAAGAAGCTGTTTCTGTGACTGGTAAGTGGAGTTCTATCTAGTTTTTGTATTATTAATAGTACGTAGAATTTTTAATTCTTCCTCTGGTGGCTCTAAATTATTATTATTTTCCATTTCTTCCTCAGAAGAAATTTCAGGTGGATCTTCAAAATCGAATAATTGAATTGGCTCTATATTACTATTACTACATCGAGCTAAATCTCTTTGTACTTGATCAAGGCATTGACATTGTTTTGGAGATCTGAAAAACTTGATAAGTTTGCGAATTCGTTTAGTATGTTGTTCAATTACTTTTAAAGCTCAGTTCACCATAAGTTGAAGTGTATATGCAGAACAAGAAATATGTTCTACACCGCTTCAAAGTTTGATAGCTTTTTTCATATTTCTACCATTGTCTGTTACTGCACAAAAAAGTTTTCCAGATAATTTATATTCTTTTATTTTCTTATATAAATAGTCTTTAATCCATTCACCTGTATGAGGATAATTCATATATTCAACAGCTAATACTATATTATGCAACTCAAAGTCTGGAGTTAACCAGTGAAGTGTTACTCCAATATACCCATTATTATTACGAGTTGTTCATAAATCTGTTGTAATTGAAGCAGTTTTACAAGTAGTATCAATTAGTTCTTTAAGATCTAATATTCCTTTGTTATAAGCAGCAACAAGATCTGTTTTAATGCTTTTATAATTAGGTGGTATGAATGCTGGATCAATATGATTCATCATCTTTTTATACTCTTTACTGCAAACAATATTAAATGCCAAAGAATCAGTAACAAGCCATTCAGTAGTGACTCTTTTTAATTTCTTTTGTTTAGATTCATGATATAGTGTTACGTATTTAATCATTTTGTCAATACGCAACTGGTTTTTTTTATCTGAATTTGCTTGAGGATCATCTTCCAGTAACAAAATTCCATGTTTTGATAACAGATGTTGTTTCATGTTTCCTGTTCCACCATCATGCTTATAACTACTTTTACATTCAACTTCTTCACCCTTTTGAAACATAACTATCTTACATACATTACGTTTATTTTTAATTTGAAAGTAATTCCAAACATAACTCGACTTTTTAGTTGTTGTATTAGCTGATTTAGTTATATTAACTTTGATTTTTTTAGCAGCTAGTTCATCTGCAGGTTTATCTGTGTATTCTTCTCTGACAGATGTATTATAAAGCTTATCAATTACTTGAATATTATCATTATCATAAGTATATTTAATATCACGATCTATGTTTTTTTATATAAGGATAAGGAATGATTATTAATTTATAGCTGATTACAATTATGAACTTTTAAGTAATTTAGGACCTGAAATTAGTTAAGAATGCTACAT